CGGGACCTCGGTTTTTCGTCTCATCCGAATGACTAGACAGCTGTCCTTGTCAGGCCCTCCTTACTGCAACACTGACAAGGGGGAACCACGCCGGCAAATCTGGGTGAACTTTCTCGGCCAATGCAGAGATCGAACACCCGACCTCCAGGCTAGCCAGCCAGCGTCTTACCCACTTAGCCAATGTGACCCCCTCATAAATCAACCAGAATGTGGTGTCTAGTGGTGTGGAACGGAAATCCGAGGTGTCTTGTAAAATAAAAGTTGGTAGTTGTAACCGTAGCTTTTGAAATAAATTATCTACAATTACTTCATGTGAGCCTCACATTGACATATTATCGACGGGGCGTTAAACTCCATTCCATATCAAAACGCATAAAAAGACAAATCAATATATTAGTAGTGGACGTGACCACAGGGTCGAATTTTGGTCAATTCTAAAAAATTCATTTCGAGGATATTATCACGGCCTAACACGGCCCCCTGTCCTGTTTGGAAAATCCCAAGGTACTTTCTAGACCAATACCAGAATCGTACCTAGCAGTGAAAGTAAAGTATAATGTTAACTACCAATTGTCGCTAAGTGTATTAAGACAAATCTCGGCATCTCGGAAACAGATAACATCATGAGAACCAATTCTTTTCAGCAGTATTTAAAGGGGACTAACTCTGAAGTATTGACAAGTACTGTGGGTAATTAATAACACTTATAGGTAAGTGATATTACCATTTGTAGCAAGCCATTTCTAAGGGATTTTTCCCGGTATTGTCTTGCAGATAACAGTGTAAATTTAACAGGCGGTTCCTGGTGTTGTTCTGTAGTTCACTGAAGAAGTTTTAACAGCTTCAGACTAACTTCGCAATTGTGATCGGCCACACGTTGGTTTAAACACATGATATAAATGAAATGAAAATTATATAGCAGACCGCTCATCTGTAATTACCAAAGATGAATCAGGACTGGATTATTTGTAAAGTTTTACAAAGATCCGCGTTAGAAATCAAAATTAATTCCGTAATGTTCTCTATATTGAAATAATAAAACTCGCAATAAGCGGTGCCGAATTTACCTATAGGCTTGGCAGACTGAAGTCTGTAGGGCCTCAAAATCTAGGGGATCTCAACATCTATGGTGTATAACATTTTTGACACTGTCATAAGTCTTCCTTATACCCACTGTATTCTTAAACACCTGTCTTCGACTTTCCTCAATTTTGTTTAAATCACACTTTCATCTTCTTTTAATCGTGGGGGGGGGGGGGATTCGGCAGCGGGAGGAGCCTCATAAGGGGATAGCATATGGCCTCTCTTTATCTAAATCTGGCACTGGTAATACGTCTCGTATATAAATTACCAACTGACGTCAATCTTAAACAACATAAATCTGTATTACGTGTTAATTATTTACGAGATCAGTAACTGATAGAATCCAATCTAGTTTTTATATACAACCACGCACGACATGACAGCACGAACAATAAATGGTCTGGTATTAAATATTTAAAGTGTGCAATGACGCAGTAAATATGTTTACGAGAGTGAAAAGTGGCTCATTGATAAAGGCGCTTGTTCAGGGTTCGATAATGGTGGTGGCTGGGAAAATCTTCTTTTTTTTCTCAGCGTGGCTCAGTGAGAGAAGGGCGGGTGCAGGGGTCACTGAGCTCGATAATGTTAGTCTAGTAAATTGTTTGGACTTTTTCAGCGTGGTTTCCCTTTGTTAGTGCTGTTGAAGGTTGGGTCGGGGAAGGCTGTGACGGAACAGTGTCTAGTAGTTCATGCACGTAAAAGAACTCTTAACTATCGGCTTACAACCATTAAGCTATTTTATACCATTTATTAGATCTACGCTAGTCTCAAATTTTGTAAATTTACATAAAGCGTTTCGTCGAAGAATAGAAGTGGTGAAGCGGTAAGGAAACAGTGGCCATTTTGTCAAAGATGCGTTAAAATTCCGACTTACGACAATGTGGAAGTTGTCTAGATTTCATGGTAAAAGTTACCATTTTTGTAAATTAAGAAGTTTAGTCAAACGCAAATTTTTTCACAAGTTTACGTTACGATATAGTTAAGCAAATTTTTCATCGTAAGTTACTTTGTGAAACCGCCCCCCCCCCCCATCTCTATACTTGTTGTCTCTTTGGTATTCTGGTCTCATAATACAGATGTTGTTATATCTCTGATGTTCTGGTCTCACCATACAGATGTTGTTATATCTCTGATGTTCTGGTATCATCATATAGATGTTGTTATATCTCTGATGTTCTGGTCTCATAATACAGATGTTATATCTCTGATGTTCTGGTGTCATCATATAGATGTTGTTATATCTCTGATGTTCTGGTGTCATCATATAGATGTTGTTATCTCTGATGTTCTGGTATCATCATATAGATATTGTTATATCTCTGGTGTTCTGGTATCATCATATAGATGTTATTACCCCTCTGATGTGCTCCCCATATACAGATGTTGTTTTACGTACCATTGTTATAAGAAGGCAGGGGAAAAGTAATTATTATTTTCTTTGATGTTGGTGTGAGGACGGTGGTGGTCATGGAGGGCATGACAAGGAAAAGGCGTCTAGTCTGAGTATTCATATTAGACGAAAAACCGAATACACCCATGCACTTGTTCACGTGCAGGGAAAACATCCTTTACAGGTGAAATTCAAAACGTAGAAACGCCGACGACTGAGCTAACCACACTACATAGCTTATGCATATCTTCATTGCCGCGGTAGGTCCAGAAAAGTAAGATTGTAAACCCCATTCATTTCATGTCTATAGACAATAAGATTCCATTTCCTACAAGAGTATTAACCATATCGATTAACAGATAACCCGTGGCAAAAACGCCGATGTTGGGCAGAATGCCCTCCATAGCACACAACCCCGTCTTGACCAGAAGAAATGGAGATTTCTTATCTATAGACAATAGACTGGTATTTCCTATCAGATTATTATCCATATGTAATCTATAGACAATAAGATAGTATTTCCTATAAGAGCATTTAGCCATATTGATTAACGAGTGAGCTGTTATATAGTGTTATTGGATGTCTATCACTGGCTGTTATTAGATTGTTATGGCAGATGTCAAGTGGTTTCTATTCTCGACCACCTCCCTCAATTAAACATTTATTATAGCTGAGACTTGAACAATATCTTCACCCCTAAATAGTGCTATTACACGTTACATCTATAGTGATATAGGTATTCTCGTTAGATAGCTTAAAACAGATCTGTTATAAACATCGTTTAATTATGCCAGAGTACACATTTGCAAAGAACATCGGTAAAGTAATCCTTTTTATTGTTAAGTTTACAGTTAAATCCAATGAATGGGTATTTTTAAATATATTATACACAACAATGGCATTCTAAAATGATTTTTTTATTATGGATTATTTTAGTTTATTGATTCTATGTGTGTATTTAATTGTGCACCTTATTCTGTAGAACAGTGTAATGCATGTTTATTTTGTATGCATACATGATAATGAAATTTGAAAATGATTCTTTGTTGATTAGTTTATTAAATTTAACGCCAATCTTCGTGCATGTGTTATTTGTATGTTAGCTTATTTAATTTAAGTACGTATTTGACTCTGGAAAGAACAGACACTTAGTCGTGGAACAATTGTAATTTTGCTTTGAAAGAATGATCAGCAAATCTCCTGGGGGTTTTTCTTTAAATGCATTCCACAAAAAATGTTTATTTTAATTTGGATAAAATACATTTATATTAAATTATGGAAATCATGCAATTAATCGAACAAAATATGTAAACCAAAACATCTGCCACATATCTCGTATCACAATATGTTTTGCTCAGTAACGGAACCACGGTGATTCAGTGAGTAAGACGCTCCTCGGGATTTTCCGGCGATGTTTTCCCTTGTCAAACTGCCCGTTTTCATTCGCCCAGTCGGTGCAGAAAAGTAGGACGTTAAACCCTATTTCATGATAGGCCTATGTACGGATATCACTCGTCTAAGTATTTATTCTAATAAACAAATTATCAACCTTGACCAATGTCTAAATATGTTTATTATAATAAATAAATTAATTAATATCCCTGACTGTAAAATACCCCCGAGTTGTATTATTCGTGTGCATGTATTCGGGTCATTAAAGGTTTCCGACATACCGAAAGAGAAATATAACGTATGCTCCTTTGAATAGATATCAGCCCATTATACCCTTCTTTCTATATTAATTATGGACGTGTTTATGATGTATAATTATTTACTACAATTGATTCTGTGACCTGGAATGTTTACTATGTGAATAAAACTGAGAATAATGTGACGACCAGGTAGTTATTTATGATGTCGAAACGTAATTAAACGTGGAGTCCATACTTGTTTTCGAAATCGTGGACAATAAAATGTCAGAAATCGTAACCGCGTGTCAGTTTACAGACGACGGGATTCCTTGATTTAAAATCAGTTGCAATGCATTTTCTTGTTGCTATGAATATTCGAACAGGTGTACATGTACGTAATACGACAGCTTTAAATTGTGCATTTTTTTGAGAAAAATAGCTGTTGTGGGTCAGGCACTGGTTCACTAGCCAGTAGACCCCGGGCTCAGTTTGCCGAGAAAAGTCATCGGTTTTCTCTCGTCAGTGGTTTATCACTGCAAGGTGCAGTGTCTGGTCGTTTGGATGATACGAAAACATGGGTCCATATTACACGTTGGCGTGCACGTAAAAGAGCCCCAGAAACTTGTAATTCTAAATAAGAGTAGACCACAGCGCCTCTATGCGGCAAAATCTCCCCCATAACACACTGCATGACCCATGCTCGTCGTCATTTCTGTCGAAAAGTAGGAGTTTAAACCGCCTTTCATTTCTTGCAGTTCGACACTATAGTATGTTCTTCAATATGACATGTTTGTGATGTATTGCCCACTTGAAGTGACGAATACGTTGTTTTAACTTCTATTAACGTGCTCTTAATGCATAGTTTATTTTTATTATCTATTTATTTAGGAAACTTAAACAGGATAGAGAGTAGTTTGTTATCAGTGGTTGTCCAGGTAAGAATGGGTTTAATCGTTTCCTGAGTATACTTCTTGCTAGGAGATCGTTCAGTAGTGGTAACTCAACACCAACATGACCTCGTCTGGCAATCGGCAGTGTGGTAAATTATTGCTAGGCCAGCTTGGAAGAAATGTGGACGTCTTGTCAAGAGACCACAAAGACAATATGGATTTACGTTGGGATGTCGTGGGTGATGTCTATCAGAATTTTTATCAAGCCGATTATGAAAAATTAAGTTCCGGTAGGAATAGTGTTACTCAGTTTAATGATTCTCCTGACAATGGATCTGGCGAAGAGCAACGAATTACAAAATTAAAAAGGCTATCCATTGACAAAAAATTAAGACTTTCTCCATTAGTTTCAAATGGATCACAGATGTCACCATTTACCAAAGGCGAAAAGTCATTTAAATTCAAAGGAAGAATTAACCGCGGTGATTCCGACGATGCTCATGGAACTACAAGGAAGTCCTCTAAGACAGATGTGTCGGATTTCATGGATTCGCGAGGAACTCAAAATAAGGCACCCCTCCAATCCCATGCGACTGCTCGTTTACCGTTCACGCCAATGTTACGATCCAATAGTAAAAGAAACCTACCACCAATCAAATCTAAACATTTACCCAAGAGGCAGATAAGCAGAGAAGACATGTTGTTACGTAAGCAGAAATCTGTTCGTCGCTTCCAAGTTACCGACGATGTGCCATTGATGGAGGCACCGGAATTGACTCGACGTGATGATATTTCGGTATGTATGAGTTAATTTGTTTGTGACTTAATCACAATCGCCGTGAAGAATGCTTTAAAAAAAGTTGCAGAGCTAGAAATGTAAACAACCCATCATCTGGAGGATTGAATATTAACTGCTCTTAAATTCCCAAAGATCTTTAACCAAAAATAATAATGACCGCCAACAGGTTATAGATATCAGCTCACCCATGGTTGCATGTAATATACTGTCTCCGGGTCATTGTCGCTAATGAAGTCGGGCTTACGCCATACAGTGTGCTATGAGGGAAGGTTTACTCTTATTTCGAATTCCAACTGAAAAGGGGTCGTTTCAATGTGTATCTTGACAGACGACATCCGCCTAAAAGTTTAATTTTAGTTTTCAGCAGATTGGCTATATTCGCAGATTTTGTATGTTCGAAGAATAATTCATAAAAAGGTTTACCAACACTACCTAGTATAGCTCTGCTTTAAATTTAGCACCATTTAATAAATAGCCATGTAGACGTTTTATCAAACTAAACAGTCCCCTTTTAAATGACGTATGGCTATATTCTTTGGAACCTTGGAATATGAAAATGGGTCTAAATGCAAATATTAATGGTATATGACTGTAATATATTCAATGTTTATTTGTTTAGCATATTCTATAAGCTTTTTAAAATTCAGTTTGTTTGTGTTCATTACAAATGGGGCTTGAAACCATATAGTACATCACGTCGTGTACTGATTTTAAAATGTTATTTCTATCTTGCATATTGGATAGCAGGATCCCATATTTTCACAGTAAGATAACAACATCAATATAGATTGGAATGAACCAATATTGAATTCTAATTCGTGTTTTAATTTCGATTATTATCAATAATATTGAGTTAGAGGTTTGGCAACTTCCTGTTTTCGTTTTACAGCCGGCGTGGTTCCGACTTGTCAGTGGGTCTGGATAAGGACCACGTATAGTCCGAGGTCCCGTGTACGCTTTGACGTGCACGTAAAATCACTCTTGAGGGTTGGAGTTCGACATAAAAGTAGACCATAGCGCTACTGCCCTGGGAAAATGTCGCTCATAGCCATAGGCGTACGGGGAAATTTTTGACTGGGGGGGGGGGGGGGGCGGTGGTGGTTGGTGCCCAAAAAATGTAGTTAGGTTCTTAGTATGTTACATAATAGTAATAAATTCGCTGTTAAATTGGACACATTCAAGAATACAATATTTTTTTTTATACAAATTTTACAAAGTACAATTGTGTGCCCAAATTTTCCCAGCATTTGGTGCCCAAAATGGGGGGGGGGGGCGTCGCCCCCCCAGCCCCCCCCCCCCCAGCTCGTACGCCTATGCTCATAGCACATTGTATGGCATATGCCTGTCTCCATTAGCTCAGTTGGAGCGTTAAACCCCATTTTATTTCATTTCATTTTGTTTTACAGCCTATTAATAGATTTAGACGAGCAGTTAGGACTGTGATGATTCTCACCAAAGCCATCATGTCAAACAGGTCGGTATGACTTGGTATCCATTTTAAATACCAAACGTACAGATTTTAATGGATTTCCTGAACTCGAAATTAAGTTTGAATAATTAAACCGCCGTTGAAATGCCAAATGTGCACTAGATGGAATTTGTACATAAATAAATTAGCGTTTCTAACCTTCAATTTCAAACTCTTCCTCTTATGAAAAGCGGGGTTTATAACTAAATTAGTACACGTAACTCGTGTTTAAAGGTGCATTATGTAAGATTCGGATAAAGTTGGGTCCGTTTTTCTTGCTATAATAATTAAAAAAAAGAAAATTAATAATATCAGTCAAATTACTTTATTCCGAGCGAAGTGCTGGATGTTTGAAGTTTTGACAAGAAATAGCCAATTGCCAATTGCAAGTACCACTGTCATGCAACTACAAAAAGTTTCGATTATCAAGCTTTTTTTGAGAGACATATATGTTAATCTTATCAATTATATTACAGCAATTGTCTAACCCATTCAATATCAGCCATCCGATGACATAGAAAGTTGTTAATGGCATGGAATAAAATCTCTAAATAATAATTTATTAAACATTTGAAGGAAGAAAAGACACCTGCAATAGGAAGATTTGGGTCTTATATAATGCATCTTTAATTGATAATACAAAATGCACACTCAGACGCCCTTTTAATAATAATAAAAAAAACAGAACTAAATACTACTATAATGTATTCAAACGTTAACCAAAAGATAATAACTTTATTTTATGCAGGGAAAGTTCCAAGCGAACTGAAAGGAAGTTACTATCTTGGACCCAAGTTCATGATGACCTCACATCCTTACGTCGAGGTTACGAACGATTTGGTTTGACCTTTGACCCAGCTTTCTTTAAGGTCAACAGGGAGGTAGGGAATTGTGTTATTTTTATTAATAAACTATAACAAATACTTATGGAAGAACAATTACTGATTTATTTTGGCGACGTTTCGAAGAGTATTCTCTCAACGTTTTCATGCAAGTGAGAGAATACCCTTTGAAACGTCGCCTAAAACAATCAGTAATTATTATTGCATAAGTATGTGTTATAGTTTATAGTATCCAGTTACTAAATGATTGTTATTATTATTATACACATTTGTATAACGCACAACTGCCGCATAAATGTGCCCATGTGCGCTTTACAAAGACATATTATAGAGCAAGACAATATTATATTTACACAATAAAACGAGAGCACATAGACCATACTTGATACAATATGTAAATAAAAATTGTTATTTAGATGAAATTACATGTAATTTATAGAAATTAAAATAGTTCTGGATCATCGACCTATTAAACGACCCACTGTGTAAAAACCCTTTTAAATAATTAATCTATTTCATTCAGAGTCAGAGAATCCGATATCAATAAATTTGGTGAATTTGTGATCGATACCGAAATATCTCATTTTAGAATTCCATAATTTGTATTTTGTTGTAGCGCCCCCCTCCTAACCATATGCGAATGTTGATCTAGTTTTCTAAAAAGAAAAGGCATTTTGTCAAATAACTTTATTTTGGTTTGGCAATAGTCCCTTTTAGGTCAAGATCCACCTATATACAACAAGTTTTGTTAGTCGGCCCTCCTAATAATATATAGGGACAAGGACGTCTATAGAAGGAAAATGTCTTCCAAAATTCATGGGATCATTTCAAGTATATAACATTATCCAAAATCGAAATCTACGATGCGTTTAATTTCAAAATATTTGATCTTTAAGGTACATGTTAGCCCAGAAGCTAAAACTACCCTAATGCTCCCACCATGTTATCGAACAGAAGAACAGCGTCGTGTTGCTCTCCTGTCTCTTAACACAGCTGTAGAAGTATTCAGTGAATTTCCTGTCAAGATGCAGAAATCAATCGTTAAAGTTGGTTGGTATGAATTGTAAGTTGGTATGATTTGTACGCATCTTCGATAGTTTAGAACTTTCAATTTCACACCACGGGTAACTATTGATCTATTTAAAGAAAATTTGAGCTTTTAGATTTTTGATCTATTTCTGCTTTATATATGGTAGAGCCAAAAAGGGCATACACTTTTATAATACACTAATTTTCAAACACGGCTGACGTTTGTTAAGAACTAAATCTGCTATTCTTGATATTAGACCCAAACTGAACATAACAATCTGAATCCAAATTGCCAACGGCAATTATCCGGACTTTCCTGGATGTTTATGTCCCAAAACGTCTTAAATGGTTTATATAAGTTCCTTACTCTGTAGTGTGGAACATGGCTATAGAATGTAAGTCTTTTGGCGAGATTCCCCTTTGAGATTTAGCGCGACCATCAAAAGACTTGACTCAATAGTTTGGTGGTGCTGGATTCAGAGGATCCTGAATGTAGCGAAATGTACAATTCATGATTTATCTTCCTAAGTAATGGACCAAATTCAACCACTTGTTATGGGCTGTTCTTTTAGAGATTCGTCTTCCACAGTAGCATCATTTGCAAGGGATGATTCAAAAATCATCTATATGATCGCGGACCACTTCGGCGAAGAAATATCTCCGGATTAAACATTTAGTATTGTTTGTCTGTTCTTTTCTTTGAAAGTGATGTTAAATATCCTGATTATTTCATTAGTGCCCACAATGACTATTAAACAGAAGTATCAGAGATGAGGTTGTGCAATGTCACACGTCCACCCTGCGCCCTATTACGCCTTTCGCGTACTGACAATTGATGTGCCTTCTTGGTTTATTTTTAGTTTTGAATCCAAAAGAGTGATAATAAGACAAGGACACCTAGCTGACAATTTTTACCTGATATTGGCAGGAACAGGTGCGTTTTAAATATATTAGTTAATTATTTATCACAGTAATTATATAATCGTTATTGATTACGTTGGTTTTTATTCAAAAAGCTTTACAGAATCATACACGTCTTAAAACAAAATGAAATAGGGTTTAACGGCTTCCTTTGCCGCACAGACCGGGCCATGCAGTGTGCTATGGGGGACCTAATGGGCGGATATCGGAGTTTCCGTCTACGCTTTATCGAATTCTAACTGGAGAAGGGTTCTAATTCTTTTACATGCAGACTAGACTCTTTTCTCTGCCAGACTGATCCAAGGAGTAACTGTCTCGGCCAACTCCCGTGGCTTTCACGTTAATCTACCAACGTCTTATCTACCGCATCGTTGTTCAGATGTGACTGGGGCAATATCATAAAGTGTTCTATGTATCATCGAGTCGTTAGGGTATGAAATAAGAATTCACCGCTATTATTATTATTCAAACAGCTATATCTCGACTTTAAGTAGACACTACATCTCAAATTGACCCCTGTTAGCCGCCCAACAATTTTTTATGACCTGTGCATTTTAATGAGCAGCGAGTGATATGGGATATTACCAATAGAAATTGATGCCTTGATTTTTTTGAGAATTCGTTAGGCAGGGTAAATGCCACGTTTCCGTTTATCACTGGACTACTTCCAAATGGGGCGTTGGGTGGCCGAAGGGTTTATAAGGTCATAAGGTCGGTCATTGAGTCAAGTGGCGTGCTTTCGATTTACCGTTTGTACATAACAAAGGGAGGTCCCCTATCCAACCTCGTGAGTTTTCTCTACTTGTTAGTCCCGAAATGTCCTAGATTGTGTCGAGTGAACGCTAAACTCCATTTGTCTCTCCCTCTCTATTTACAAATGTCTCTCATTTCTCTCTTATAAAATACAAAATGAAATGAAATGGGGTTTAACGTCCTACTGTTCTGCTCCTATGCTGGGCTAATGAAGACGTGCATACGCCATACAGTGTGCTATGAGGGAAATTTTGCCCTGGCAGCGGTACTATCGCCTACTCTTATATCGAATTCCAACTGCCAAGGGATCTTTTACGTGCATTCCAATGTATACACGGGACCTCGGTTTTTCGTTTAATCCGAAGGACTAGACAGCTGTCCTTATCAGGCCCTCCGTCCTGCATCCCTGACAAGGGGGAACCACGCTGTCCGGCCCTCCTTCCTGCAACACTGACAAGGGGGAACCACGCCGAAAAATCTGGATTAACTTTCTCGGCCAATGCAGGGATCGAATACCCGACCTCCAGGCCTTATAAAATACCGTATTTGTTTTGTAGCTATAGAAACAGTATTAGATAGAGATGCTATTTGTCTTGTAGCTATGGTAACAGTATTAAATAGAGATGTTATATATCTTGTAGCTATAGTAACAGTATTTGTCTTGTAACTATAGTGACAGTATTAATGGATGTTGTTTGTTTTGTAGCTATAGTAACAGTATTAGATAGAGATGTTATTTGACTTGTAGCTATAGTGACAATATTAAGGGATGTTATTTGTCTTGTAGCTATAGTAACAGTATTAGATAGAGATGTTAAAACTGGTGATGTCTATTCTAGAACTGTCGCTCTACTAAAGAAAGGGAACAGCTTCGGTGTAAGTCCAATATTTATTTATAATAGATACAATATTTGTTCTCGTGTAGAAAGTCTTCTCCAATAGCACTTAAAGTAGTAATATCAAGATTCGAGACAATCGTCACTTTTAGTATTTTTTGAGGACCTGTGCTCCAGTAGAAACACTTGCAATTGGATTTAAACAAAAACTGACCCGACTGCCATTGTACATAAATTTTATTCATTATTAAGTATTAAACAGTTTCAACCTTGCACAGCCAAGAATGTAAATTATGTAGCCCTTTTTTTTAAAGAAAAGACAGAAATGCGTGGACTTGATTGAAATAAAATGAAATGAAACGAATTTAAATATCGCACTCTTCTGCACTAACCGTTTTAATAATTAAATGGGGTTTAATGTTCTACTTTTTCTACACTTGCCTGCCGCGCTAATGAAGACGGGCAAACACCATGCAGTGTGCTATGAGAGAAAATGTTCCTATACAGCGGCGCTACGACCTACTCTTATTTCGAATTCCTACTGTCAGTGATGCACGCCAGTGAAGACGGGGTTACGACTAGCGACGCTATGGTCTGTAGTCTAGTCTTATTTTGATTTGCAGCTGTATCGGTAACGTACTGCTATGTGTATACACAGGAAAGTCACTGGGAACACGGGGATCGAACTCGCGACCTCCTAGGTTAGTAAGCAACGGACTTCTATTACAGGATACGAAAAGCGGAGTCCCGTGTACACATTGGTGTGCACGTAAAACAACCATTTGTAGTTGGAATTCGATATAAGAGAAAGGCCATGGCGCCGCTGTCTGGACAAAAGGTCCCTCATAGCACACTACATGGCGTACGCCCATCTTCATTAGTCCAATCGGAACAGAACAGTAGAACATTAAACCCCATTTCATTTGATTTATATTACAGGAGATTGGATTAATGAGAGGATCTAGAAGAAGTGCTACTGTGACGTGTCGTGATGATATGGAAGTATTAGCTGTGGGAAGACAGGACTTTATAGACATCTTCATGCATATAGAACACAACAAGGAACCAAACCATATCCAATTTCTGAGAACTATTGATGAATTCCACGGATGGCCAATACAACAATTACCATATGATAATCCTAAAGTCTGTCTGTTTACTTACTTCCGGTAAGGAGAGAGAGAGAGAGAGCGAGAGAGAGAGAGAGGGGGGGAGGGGGGGGCGCACGCGTTTATTGACTCGGTATATACTTGTTACAGACCGATAGGTGTGGATCTTCAATTCAACTAGCACTTTGTTTCTACCCTTTGAATTTTATTTTCCAGGCGTGGTGTTTTGTTATGCAAAGATAGCAACAAAAGCGACTGGATATTTGTAGTCAAAACCGGAAGTTGTCGTGTACTCAAGTCACTTAAATCTACGAAGCCAAATTTACCTCCATTAGATCTTGGCAGCTATATATGTAGTCTCGATCTAAGCAAAAGTAAGTGAACTCTGAATTTAATATTAATTGTTTCTCTGAAACTGGGGGTATTTAACATACAAATACTTTAATTCAAAAATAGGACAAACTACGAGACCCAGTGTACACGTTGATCTGTGGATCAAAGAACCATTGACAGTTGAAATTCGATATAAGAGTATGACGTAGTGCCGCTGTCTGGGCAACATTTCTCTAATAAAACACTGTATGTCGTATGCCCGCTTTCAGTAGCCCATACCTCATTTTTACTAATGTAAGTAAGGTACTGGGTCAACTTACGACACCACAGTAGTATCGAATAATGTAATTAACGTTTTGGCATGTTTTTGCAGGTTTACCTCCCCTGAAAGCATTAAATTGTAACAGTTTAACATCTTCTATAAGGAACGGTAGCTGGTCAAAACAACAGTTTAACCTCCAGTACAACTCTAACAAGTTAAAGGGAAATAACTCGCTAGACATCCTTAATCGAGGTCCAACAGAACGTAAGATGTTTGTTATATTTGTTGTAATTAGTTATCCATAACAAGAACAAATTAAAAACAACCGACTTGAAATTTGCCAGTTCCATGTTTTCAAAGCTGATTCGTTGATCAAAAGAAGAAAATCATATCATGATCATCTCCATTACAACGGTTATAATTAATTTTACATGTATCTCTGATTAGTTTAACCTTATTTTTATTTAGTTGAAAACCACGCAGAAGAACATTTAAGGGAATTAGATATTTTATTAAATCGAAAAGAAGAGGACAGTTTTAACAAACTTCACGATTTTCCTCCCGATCACCAAGATAAGATGGTGTTTGTAGAAATTCAGAAATTGGGAGCCCGAGATACCTATGTAAGTAATGTTCATGTTTTATGGGTTATTAAGGATGCATTATGCAAGAGTTAAATCAGTCTGTCGCGGGTCTTTATTTTGGTTCCAAATGTATTATGATTTATTATTTAGACATATATTCACATGGCAAGCCTATAATCAACGCTTTACGCCATCGGATGTCCGAGATTTAAATGGATTTGAACACCTACAAGAATTTAAAAATTCAACGATAATGTACCGTTGCTACGATAAAAAACGACCTACGCTACATCTTCAAACAGTCAGAACTTCAGCCTGAATAAAGTGATTGGATTGGAATTTTCAATATATTAATTTTTCATGGTCTAATTTTGAAATATTATAGCAAGAACTGTCATCTATTTATTTATACCTTACATAATGTATCTTTAAGTGTTTATCGTCCTACATGTTTGTTTCAAATGGGCTAATGCAGACGGGCATACGTCATGCAGTTGGCTATGAGGGCAATATGACCTTCGACCTTGACAGTTACTGCCTTTCAACTACGTGAATGCCGGGACCACGGGTTTTCGTCCCATTCGAACTACTGGACACGTGTCCTTGCCATCTATGCAAATAACTCGATACTGTATACTCCATTGGTACCTACATTTATGTTCTATTAGTATCGAAAAATTGGGTTAAATGGTTAAACAGATATCTTTGAAAGTCCAACATTGAAAATACCTTTTAAGTACAGAATAAATCGTCCATTATAAAAATACGATGTCGGAGTTGTCAACCATTATGAATATCTATTAATTACTATGGTATATTACTATGGGTTATGTCAATATATGCACGCGCTGCATGTGCACTATTCTCCTTTCTAGATGTCGTTTCTATTCTGAAGAATTCATGCAGCCTAGTTCATGTTGTATTTTTGAATTTAACATAGGGTTTGGAATCGGTGTTGTTTGGTATGATGAGAAAGACTACGAGTACAAGCCTGGTATCAGAAGGTACAGAATGTATACTTATCAACCGCAAGTTCTTTCTACAGCATCTTTCTGAAGATGTGGCCAAAATAATTAGAACAAAGGTAGTTATTATAATTAGAACCCATTAATTATTATATTTCAGGTCAATTCGATTAAACATGATAGGGAATCGCGATAGTCGAGCAGTTGGGAACTGACAATTCTATGAGAATACCGGTTTCTAATCCTGGCATAATCATAATCAACTCTCGATGCCCTTGCTAGCCTACGATATTTAACCGATTTGATTACATTTTCGGAAAAATAATTAAACGTAAAAATGGATAATCGAGACTTTGTTTTTTTTTTATCGTACCGACTTTTGTAATGATGATCAAGGCTAGCTTATAATTCAAAAGCTAATATCTCGGTTCAGAGTAAAGCAATATGCCTGAAATTTTCGCATATTCTATTTATGTTATCTATTTTCTAACTATTACAACGAGAACTGTCAACTCTTTGTCTGATCTCCCATAATGCCCCTTTAAGGAGCTTTCAAACCTAGTTCACACTGGGCAGTGACGGTGTCTAGTAAGGCCTTCACGTCGTACCCTGCATATTTCGGCACATATTTCGATTGGGTACTCACCCTGCTTGGTAGCTTGGTAGCCTGTCAAATTCCTCGTCCATCGCGAATACCAAGCCTCGCGCTTTCCAGCTAAAATGTCTACCTGTGATAATCGAGATGCAAAGTTCAAGATTTGTTCAATGTCAAGGTTTCCGTGGAGGTCGCCATATCACAACCTATGATTGGACGCTACTGTTCATGTGTCTGCAGATAACGTAGCTATAAGTTCGGGAATTGTAAAGTAATCTAGCGACGTCCAGGTGTTGTAAAACTCACAGTCGTTGCTTCAGGAGCATGGCAAAACCGAGGCCAATGCGTGTACGTATTGACGTGAGGTTAAGTAGATAAAAATGCGGTTCTAGAAAAAGTATCATGTAACCATAGAAACTTAGCATAAAGTAAAACGTCTAGTAAACATAGGGCTCTAACCGTTTATGTTATTTCAGATCCGTCCATTACCAACGGATCACGTTCTTCAACAGAAACTACAGACAAAAACCAACTGGGAAGCTTATAAAGCACTGACAGTAGCCGACCATATAATATACAAACAACAAGTTCAACAAAGTCTAGGATACGGTTAAAGCACTGACAGATCATATAATATACGAAAAAAAGGGTTCAACAAAGTCTAGGATACAGTTAAAGCATTGACAGTAGCCGATCATATAATTACAAACAACAAGTTCAACAAAGTCTAGGATATGGTTAAAACACTGACAGTAGCGAACCATATAATATACAAACAACAAGTTCGAAAAAGTCTAGGATACGGTTAAAGCACCGGCAGAAGCAGACCATATAATATACGAAAACAGATTTAACATAGAAATTTAATCCGGACGGCGGCGCTACTGTCTACTTGTATATTAATGCCCAACTGTCAAGGGTTATGTTACGTCCACGCCAATGTGTACACGGGACCTCGGTTTTTCGTCCCAACCGAACCACTATTGTTTGTCCACTGAGAGGCCCTCCGTTCCACACCACTGACAAGGTGTTCATCGTCACTTCAATATTATGAAAGTTTAATTATTTAAAAGGAATAAAAGACCGAGAATGATTCAATTCTTCTAAGTATTATCAAAGATATGATAAATTGAGAATTCCTCAACATTCCGCATCCAAGTCATTAGTCAGATTATATCCAGTCGAGAGATTTTTAAATTAAATGTTAAAGATGCATTATGTAAGAATTAAATAAAATATTTGTTGTTGTTGCTATATTAGTTTAAAAATAGATAAAGAGAAAAGAATATTAAAGAATAAATCAGTCAAATTACTCCATTTTGAGCAAAGTTGTGAATGTTTGAAGAATAGTGTAGTCTCAATTTTCATTGCTATCGTTATTACGATAATATACAAATTTAAGTCTCGATTATCCGTGTTTCAATCTGTTCAAAACCACAACTATACGATCACCTATGGAAAGTTGATTATAGGCTTGTCATAATAAATGTCTAATGAATAATCTATATAAAATTTGAAGCTAAAAGAAAGATCTGTAATAGGCAGATTTAGCTCTTACATAATGTATCTTTAAATAACCAATAATAGTATGTTTTAGATCGGATAAAGCCGCGAATAATTAGATATTGTCCAATAAAAAATACACCAAACAAACCCAAATGACAACCAAATAAAGGTATAATAAAGGTATAATATCTATGGTGGTTTCCTATATTTTACTACTGGTAGTAATAGGTGTCATGGCGTGCTGAAGTGCGCCTGTTTTTCATATTTTACCACTGGCAACAATTTGAGATATGGCTGAATCCTCGACAAATCATGGTGAAGTCATCGAATATTGACATATATAGGGTTTATTATCACTATATGGGAATAAAATTAACCGCACAGATTGCAGTAATATTAATTATTTTATTACCCGATGAGAATGTACATTTTGTTATTATTCAATAAATATATAATTCAGTGCTATTTTTGTATTAGTCCTATATCCAACTTCCGCCCACGTATTTCGACTGACATCCGCCATTTATGATTCGTTCGATTCACCAATAATTTTAGTTGTCTCTTTGGGTTCAGCTGTAGATGCTGTGGTCTGTGTTGTCTTTTCGGGTTCAGATGCAGATGATGTGGTCGCTGTTGTCTTTTCTGGTTCAGATGTCAATGCTGTGGTCTGGGTAGTCTTTTCTGGTTCAGATGTCGATGCTGTGATCTGGGTTGTCTCTTCTGCTTCAGATGTCTTCTGTGCTGTCTCTTCAGATGTAGATGCTGTGGTCTCGTTTTGATTTGAACTCTGCAAATATAATTTTTAATAATTAAATATTCTTATTCCAATTTATCTGGAACCTGAATGAACACCGAGCAAACCGAATTCGTTTTCAATAATTGTGTAATATAAACATCTCTGTTCCAAATATAGTAGCAGTGCCCGTCGTGATTAGGCCGATCCATACAGAAAATTACGTTAAGTCCCATTTCATTTGACGGACTAAGGGGGGTAATTATACGAGTAGCCTCTCCTTTTTCTAATAATATAACTCTGATCACAGCGCATGTGTTGCTAAAGCCAGCAAAAGTGTGATATAAACAGGCGCAATAATTCATTTTAGAATGTTCGCATTGCTTCAGATAAGATGAGTCCGCCTAAACGATATGTTGGAAATTTTATGTCCGGTCGCGGTTAGTCGTGCTTATGTCACGACTATAACGATGACCTATTTAAGTTGTCAGTCTCCAGTGCACATTCAAGTTCAGTCGGGGTATCAGGGACCCCATACATACATACATATCTAACATACATGCTAACATATAGGATAACCTGCATACATAGCACTCAGCCCCCTCCCGCACATACACACACCCACACACACAATCACACATCCATACATACATACATACATACATACATAATACATACATACATACATACATACATACATAACATAAAATTGATACATGATGAATGCTTAACTTACTGTTGTATTATTATTATTATTAAGTAGTACAGATTGTGTATCGTATAATATTTCTGTACCGTTTCCCGTACCAACACATTTTGTACTGTTAACAGTCACCTGTTTACCGTCTATTGTCTTGTTCTGAAAAACAGCAACAGATTAGAAAACCAAAAACAACAACCAATTAGAAAAAAAAAAACAACAAAAAACCCAACCAACTAGAAAATGAAACCCCCATTCTATACGCTAGTGAAATACAATGTATTCATCTATACATAAGGCCTGTCGGCTTGGACATCAACATCAAATTTACAAAATAAATAATACCTGCGACACTTGATTAGAATACATATATTTTATTTGATCCATGAGACCCGGCAGGCAATTCACAAATGCAAAACATGAACAAATAATCTCAGTAAATTTAAGAAACTGTTTATTCAATACGGGAGTGAAGGTGGTCCAGTAATGTACAGCTTAATACACGGTAGAAATGGTAAGCTGGGCTACGACACTAAGGGTAGTGCCTCTGCTCCCTTTCCCCCTTTTTTGCATAACAATTTTTGTTGACATTTTGGTCTAGAATCGAAGAAGAGTGTTATATTTGAATTTTCATTTTCTGACAGGTTTTACGGAATATTCATAATTTTGGGGCGGGAGGAGTTTCAAAAACATAGAGTAGCACTTTCAATGTTAAAACATTTAAGTCAGTGCGGAGAGAATTACTAGCCGGACTCCTATTACCTCTGTCGTATTTTTACAATCAATCTGTACTGCTTGTAATGCTCTGTTGATAACTTTATTAAATATTTCCTCCAGACGAGAAACAAAATCACCTGGATCTATAACAAAAATTAACATTTTAAAAAAAAATATATAACTTTTTTTGTAACAATGTTGTTATAATTTACCAAACCAAACCCTGTCAGTCAATCCTTTACATAGGGTTAAAACAAACTATGTTATGGCCATCCACAAACTTATAAATGTATTCTACAAACTCTCAAATTATTAAACTGGTTAGCAATCCTCGTCTGTGATTTCACCCTAGTTCGAATCGGACGTTAAACACCATTGAGAGAGAGAGAGAGAGAGAGAAAGAGCGTCAAATAAGAAAATTTATTGAGATATCCCGTCTCCAATAGGGATTATCTTTATATCAGAATATTGCTTTGCGGCTTCCATGAACTGTTAGAATGTCTAAATTAAAATGCATATTCAACATTCAGTATGTTAAGCACTGATGGAAAACAACATATTATATTTCAAAAATATTAAACCAGGAACAATCGATCTTGGAATTGTGACGTTATATCGATGCCCAGTTGTCCCAAGAACAAGAATGTCAGGTGTAAAAGGCGCCACCCCAAGAACAGGTACTACACAAAGATTACAGGAAGTGAGGTTTAACTTGTTTGCACCTGCCGGTCTAATGAAGACAGAAAAGAAGGTTGCCAAACGTATTGAAAACAAAACGTTACTTTTATAGACATCGATTGAGTAAAGGTGGGACACAGTTCATGTTGAATCATTACAAATAATATGACCTAAACACGCAACCATGTAAGAAAAACACCTGTCAATTAAGATGTGATAATTAAATACATACAAACGTTTTGTTAACATGCAACATACCATGGTCAGGTCAAACTAGATTCTTATTTACTACTATCCGTATAATGACCAGTATTTTGGCCATTTTACCAACGTCCTCACTTGGTAACCAAAACAACGTAAGTCATGTTATCAAAATATAAACAATGGATAGTACTCGAGAATAACACACGTTTCAGAACTGTTAAAATTTATTAATTAATATGAATATTCATTATTTAGTATGATAAAAGGCTGACTAATTGCATCATGTATTATGATAAATTATAACATACCATTTATGCCTGATGAAAGGGGAAAAGATGATGACGAAACTAATAAAGTTACTATCACTAATACCATCAACATCTTATTCCTTCTTCAGTTTCTCGATAGTTTTATTCCAGACCTGAAAAAAAAAGTTTTAATATCACTTCAATAAAAGTTTTTCTTAATTTTTTTTTATGAAATACCATATAGATTGTACGTTACTCATTTCTGACTTGTGAGTTAAAAATAGCGACGTGACGTAGGAACAAGTCTGACGTCATATTGAGCAGGTTCTCCCTACCAACAGTACAGGACATAGCCGGGTCTACAACCTTTATTATATAATAGTCCAGATATCCAGTCTATAATTTGGATATCTCGCATTCGACTTTACGCCATTTAAGTGGGTGACTTGATATTATTAAAAACACCACATTAGTACTGAACGTGTTCGCATGCGCGTTAATGAAATATAGATGGTCTAGAATCAGGGAGTTTTCTGATTGGGTGTTAAAAGGGGTTTTAACCTACCTTTTTTATGTATAAATAAACAGCAAAATATTTACCAAATTCGTCAGTTATTAACACCGTGGTTCTTATATATCCACCTCTAATACCCACAGTTGACTCACGTGTTTTTAATTCTTGAATATTGACGAGGTGTAAAATCGAAGGGAAACTATATAATATTTTGTTTGGATTGTAACAGCTGTATGACATGGTCTCTATCGACATTTTTCTAGAATCTACTTACAGTATAATTCTCATGTTCTAGGTGGCGATATCACCGCTGTTTTCAATAAAACACCACCCGGTTAATCCAAATTTGAAGACATCTGCTCTGCATTCAAATAAGGCTAAATTTTATTCACTATTTTTTGCGTGAATATACAAACTTTTGAAGCTTTACTGGTTGCATGCTTGGTAATATTTCTTTTCAAACTTGTGTTTCTGGATATTAAATTGGTGCAGATTATCCGGTGTACTAGTGACATTAATGGACTGACTAAAACAAATTACATTGTAAATTGTTTAAGTGGCATTTAGTATGAGAATAACACATGACACAATTATATGGAATACAAGTTACTTGAAGAGTTTATTACAGCGACGTTTCGACGAGGGTTCTCCCGTCTTCATTGCACTATGGTTGTCATTCTTTGCTTGATAAAGACGGGAGATAAATAAACTCTTCAAGTAACTTGTGTTCCGTATAATTGTGTCATGTGAAATTACATTGTATATTTCCAAATTGGCCTTGTAGCTCAGTGACTAAGTCGTTGGCTCGCTAATCATGAGGTATCGGGTTTGGTCCAGGTTTTCGTTGAAAAATGAAAAACTTCCTAGAGGTTTTCAGGCTTGGTTGGCGCATGTCAGTTTTGCAGGACGGTGAGTCTGGCTAGGAACTGCGTCTAGTCGTTCGGATGGTACGAAAAACCCAGGTCCAGTGTACACATTGGCGTGTACGTAAATGAATCCTTGACCGTAATGCCGCTGTCCCTGCACGATATCCCCCATAGTACACTGAATGGCGTATGCCAGACATAACAAACGGTAAAAGCAACTAGAATATTATTTGGATATCGGTAGAATTACCTGAAGTCATTAGTTTACTCATTTATAATTGGTTTGAACAGGAAATCAGTTACATCTCAACAGTGACGTCTTAATCGATAGATGTACAATCATTTTAAGGTGGGTCTTTATTTACCTGTTGTTTAGTAGAAGGGGGATAACTCCTGTAGTGCTATGGGAAGGTGAGCCATCAAAGTTATGCCGTACATGATTTTGAGATCGAAAGTCAACAGGGTTGGAACCTGTAGTGTGGATAGTTACACGTTTAATAGAATGCTACTTCAGATTGTGTATCTTCATCCGTAATCGAGTCTAGCAGGCACTGGTGTAGTTGATTGGTGTTCACAACAAAAAGAAGCCCAAATTTGGACACAGGGGCCAGAGCAAAAAAAAAAGAAAAAAAAAGAGAAATAAATTAGTGAATCTCCATACAGATTTAACGTATTGTCGAAGTGATTTGAGGGCAGAAAGTGTGAGAAAATATACGAAAATCGTATTCGTTTTGCCCTTAAGATTATTTCGCATGGTACGCGCATATAAATTGGCTGCCGAGACGAACACGAGTGACGTCAGCACATAAACTGATGACGTATTTGCATTTGTGTTCGTTCACGTATTCGTCGCTTGTGCTCCCTCACTCTGATTAACGATGTCAAGTAGGGTGACCACCCGTCCCTCATTTAGCGGGACAGTCTCGCAAAATGTTTCAAAGTTCCGCGTCCCGAATCAACGAATATAATTTATATAACATTGACACCCCACATTACAACTACAACCACTATCAGCAACGCAACCGACAACACCACGACCGTCACCATACTCAAAGAAAATTAAAAAAATTAAATTAAATTAAATGAATATAATTAATTCACATATTATATTTTTAAAAATATTGTAAAGACCTGCACTACCAGTAGAAAACTCAGTTCTCAGACAGTACATCTTCTAAAATCTCAAAATATTAACTTAAATCTTGGAAAACGTGCTTTGTCCTATGCTAGACCTTTTCTGTGGAGTAAACTACCAAAGTCAATTATTGTCAAAACAGTCCAGGGAGAGAGACAAGAGGGATAAAAAGATAAATGGGATTTTACGCCCACTCGAAACAAACTATAATTCGCTTGCTCATAAGGTATTTAGCTTTGGGAGGAAACCAGTGGACGAGGTTAGATGGCGACCCCATTCCTTGTCACGTACAAGCGGGAAATCGAAACCACGCCACTTGACTCAACGACAGAACTTATGATCTAAAATGCATGCGTTAACCAATGGGCCACCACCCCCCCCTCTTACCCAAAGAATATAATAAAATTAAATAAATACTAGTATTTGTTACAATGGTGAATCACAAAACATAAGCTGACTACTGGGCATTTGCCGTGACCGAAGGCTATGTATTTCTATTTGATACAAAAAAAAAAGAAAAAAAAAAGAATACTGGAAAACCACGGATGTATCGAATTGTTTGTTCCTTTATATTGATATGTATACTTGGTTTAATGGAGTATCAATTACATTCGCTTTCGCTTTGTCGTCTCAGAATTATTAAAATTCAAATATATCCATTGATGCATAACAGATGATTGTGTAAAGGTATCTTGTATTATTAATAGCATGACATGGTGATCAACCAGAGGAAGTAAAAGATGAATCACGTAAGATTTAGATAAAGTGCTGACAGTTCTTGCAATAATAGTTGAAACATACATTATGCAAGAGCTAAATCTGCCTTTTGCAGGTCTTTCTTCAGGCTTAAATTGTTATATAAACCATTAATTAGACATTTATTAACAAAACAAGACCATAATCAACTCTCGATGGCATTGGATACTCAAGATTTTAACTAGATTAGAACGGTTCTCCATTAAAAAATTTAATTTAAAAATGGGAAAGCGAGGCTAAGTCTCGAATATACCAGAGAGGGAGAGACGGTGTTTAAGTCCACTCGGCACAAACTAGGTCATTTTGGGACTAACACATGATATAATTTTATTTCAATCATTCGCTTGCGCGTACGGGTCTTTAGCAGTGGGGGGAAACCAGAAGGTTGGACAGGCGACCGCGACTCTACTCCGTGTCACGTACAACCGGGGAATAGAAACCATGTCAGATGACTCAATGACAGACCTTATGATACAGCTCGCACGTGCTAACCATTCGGCCATCTACCCCCTCCCCCCCAGCTCTAAAATAATACATCTTTAACCAGGCTTAACACCCTTTATATTCAGTTATTATAAAATCTCAATCAGTTTCACAACATTCAGCATGATTAAACTTAAGCGATAAAATCTCAAAACGTTTCACTATACCTTCGGCATGATTTAATTTTAGCGATAAACGATTAATGTAAATGGATGATAATTCACTAGTCATTTGATTGTAACTTAAAAATTTCATTCAACGCCATAATATATTATTTCAACGCACCTTTTCAAACGGTTCTGTCGCACACATTAATGATTTATATATTTTGTTTGAAATGAAAGATAGGTATTTTTACATCTACAAAAGGAATTGTGTTCGGTTTTTTTAAATGCAAGATGATGCTGGCATACGGATACAAAACACGCTGATATGGATAATATATGACTTGAATTTGTATTGTTGCTGTGTATTATTATCCTAAAAGATTCGTGTTAAATATCATATGACACACGAATACAAACCAGGCTTGTGTGAATATTTCATAGTTTGATTTTCTATTGTTGCTATGACGAAAGGTGAAGTGACTATATCAACATTGTTATGCATACTGCCTCGCAATATGATCAAGCAAAGGTGATCACCCTAGTTTCGAGGTTTCCATTTATTTTTCTACATAATCCTTTTCGAGGTGTACACACTTTTGCCAACGATACTGCAAGGCCTGTTTGTGCCGATCAGTAAAAATTTTGTTCAGCCACCCTAAAAAAAATGTCGTTCTCAGCTAACATGATGTTGTTGTTATTCTTAGTGTTTAACGTCCGCTTCCACCGATATCGCAGACAAGTCTTACTTTTCATTATCTCAGTGCACGCGCAGGGGTCTTTCCTGTGGGAGGTAACTGGAGTACCCGGAGTAAACCCACGAGGTTGACAAGGCCCCATATCTCCAAGCCACATACGCTGACACCTGGGATCGAAACCACAACCGCAAGCCAGAGGTGACCGGCCAGCTAGAGGTCGAAGCGTGGCACTCTCGACTACTAGGCCATCCCAACCCCTCTATAACATGGTGTAATCATGTATCTGTATTTATAATGGCTGCCCATAGCCAGTTTTGCCCATTTCTGATGATTTCAATGGGTAGGTTCACAAAATAGTCTGGTACGAAGACAATGATATCACAACAGTTTCAGTTCCCATGTCTGTGATTCATTCAATGATTGTACTTGGTGGTGGCAATTGAAACATAGCACTCTTTGAAAAAGTCTATATTCGTTGTAGTTAATAAAACAATGTTTTGTTCTGTATCCTGTGATTCAGATACGTATATAACAATAAGTTATTGTTAGCTTATATTCGTTGTAGATACAGGCTGGGTTTAATTATGTAACCTTTGATTCAGAAGTGTAAATTATTAATAATACGCTATATCATTTTGTATTCTATTTAAAATAATTTTTGACTAGGTTTTTACGGGCAACAGATGTCAATGTGTAGCTAAACACCAGTCTTAAAAAAGTTTTAATACATTTAACATATCGATATATTTTGTATCGTGTGTAATGTCTGCATATTTTGCTAAATTACTGTTTCATTGGGAGTAAATATCTCACTTTTATAGATATATTTTCTCGACAGACGGGAGCCAAAATGCATAGATTATCGATTTGAATCAAAATATATTATTGTTGTTTTTTAAACATATTTTATTATCATAAAGTAAAAGGATTGAACAAAAGTAATTGTTACCAGGAACATTATACTAAAGTTGCATTATGTAATATATAGATAAAGAGCTGACAGTTCTTGATAATGGATAATGAATATGTTGAAAATTATTTGGGCGAAGTTATTAGTGTTTGAAGTTTTGAAAAATTGTAGCGTAGATTGTTTATTATTGTACTACAGGGGATCACGTGGCTAAGTGGGTAAGACGCTGGCTCGTT